AATTTTTCCATTGCTAGAAAAAGAAAAGCGGTTACCATAGTGGCTAGCTATTCTCTCCCGTCGCCAAGTGTAGCTAGGCAAATGCGACTCATACCCAGGGAAAGGGCAATAGACGAGAAAATGGAAAGCTGTTAAATTCAATGGAAAACAGTTTATGATTGTTCAGGAATCAGGAGCACTTCTTTAGTCTACTATATTGCTCTTGCTGTAGTTGCTTCTATGAGCTTTTGAGATTTGATAGAATTGATCCGGCGGTACAAAGTACTCCTCCAGTGGAAGGGCGGGAACTACCAGTCCAAGGAAAGACAAAAATTCCGTTAACAACAGTAAGTCAAAAGAGGTGAACTTGGGGGAAAAATGAAAGATGTTCCATGGTTTTGGGTTAGTGAAACCCTAGGTTGTTCCTAAAATAGCTATGGCTACGGTCAACCAAATTCAAATTCAATTCAAATCAAGTCAATCAATATCACCGAATGAAATCAAAAGTTGTAAAACGGTTTGCTTCCTCGTTGCAGTTCAAGAAGTATGGCTTGTTGTTTAGTCAAAAATTCCAAATTTTTTTGAAGCGTAGGCATAACAAAACAAGCAGGGTTCGACTTGGGAGGGGCACTTTGCACTTTTGCTAGTTCATGTTTGCTAACAGTTCTCTCCTTATTTGGACTTGGGAACTCTTGTAAAGCTGTGGCACAGGTGAGCAGCCTTTCAGTCACAGGAGTAAATAAATCTTTCACAACATGTTTTGCACAATCTTTGCTGAGTACCACTTAGTGCCCCTCCAAGCCGAACTGCGTCTGAGTGACACATACTGAGTAATAAAACAAGAATGTAATTCAATAACGCACTGGTGGTTCACGTTGAATTGTTCCGCTATCCACATGCCAGTAGTAAGAGAACCCTGATGGATCTGAAGAGATTAGATCAAACTTGAGCTAAACCTTCGTTTTCGTTCTAGCTGCTCTAGAGTTGAACGCTAGAACTTCTTGCAGCACGACCAATCGAATCAATAAAAAAAGGACAACATTCCAGTTTTGCAGAAAGAAAAAAAATTTATGCCATTGAGCTCACCTTGGTGCTTTTCCCAGCCCGGAGGTAACTGCTTCGGCTCCTCTTCATTCACTGGAGGTGGTGGATTCACTCGTAACGGTTTACTATACTGATTCTCGAATACCACGCCAGAATCGTGTGATTCTGGGGATAGCACCGTTTCAACAACCTGAAGGAAATGCGTGACTAGTGAGATTTGAGACTGAGATTAAATGAAATACTGTTTTTCAGGGACAAATGCGTAATAAAGGAAGAAACGCGACCGATAACATTAAAAGGCTTGGCTCACCGACAGCGATAATCAAAAAGAGCTTACTATGACGCTTCAAATATATTTACCTTTTCAAAATCCTTCGTATAAACTCTAATGAGTTTTCTTGTGCTCAACCCACACTCAAACCTCTCTAAGAGTGCGCTCATACTCCGCGATCCACAAGAAGCTAACTTCAGTATTACCGCCGCGATACCGTACCTGACCAAGATACGTTCTCATGTCGTCCTCCTGGTTTCCGCTGAACATCGCGCTTTAAATTGTCCCCAGCCGTCGTACGGTGGCGTTTGAAAAGCATCAGATACGGGGAATTTAACAGACTAACCGTTATACTTCTTCTGCGCCTCGAGCCTGGCACGCGCAACGATGCGCTGCTCTCTTCCGGGATGTCCCCGTCCGAGCCATTCGACTGCTACGCGCCCTGCGCCATCATTATCTTCCTCGCTACTCTTCTGCTTCAAGCCACTCTCCTGGTGGTCCCGTTGGCCACGCCTTCGGTGTTTAACCATCGTGCAGATATAATGGCCTTTCCGAAGACTCTGCTACAATAAACATTGCACATCTGAGGTGGGTAACTCGCCTCGAAATTCTATTAAGCGCTCATGACCTCGCACAATATCAACACCGGCCTGCGTAAAAGCTTCGCCACTGCCAGCTCAGCTCCAGGCTGTCTAACTACACTTTCCCAACCTGCGATCTAACTTACTTTTTCACACACCCTAACCACCAGCTGAAATCACCACTGCAAGTAGAACACCAACACCTTTACTCGAGCGCTACAACTAAGACGGGCCAAACCTTGCTCAGCACGCCACCCTCGCGCTGCGCACAGCACCCGCCAAGGCCTCGTAGAAAATTCTGCTCTAAAACTTGCCCACCCAAAAGATTGTCTAAAGAGTATTTCGGTCTGCAGTCCACTAGTTCTCCTGTCAGCTACTGGGAACGTCCGCAATCTGCGGTGTTTTCGCAATTAAGATCCCTGGATTCATCTCCAACAAGAATCTAACTGAACATAGTGTCCTGTAACGTGAGTCCGAACTGTAGTTGCACCAAACTGGCGCCAAATGGTATCGTCACGAAAAATGTCATGTCAGTAATCAGATCACTACTTTTTATGTCTAGTGATAGTGACGTTTTTTGCTTGTTCCAATCACTAAACACGCAGTGGAATTTCATGCGATAAGTTGGGAAACCACCTGTAGAAGAATATTTTGGACTGGAGTAAGTTGAAAATACTTTACCCCAATGGCAAATAGCTAGAAAAAAGCGTTGTAAGTAAAGCGTAATATGGTCCACACATCGGAAAAGTAACATGTCTCGAGCCTGGAGGTTCTATGCTTGGCGCATCATGCAAACATAGGAGCATCCCGTCTAGCTGAAAGAAACCATAAGTTAAATCTGCACGAAATTCCCGTTCATCCTTGAAAGTGCAGTATATGCAAGCATTTCCGCACAAACTCGTAGCGGTACTGCGTAAAAGTTCAGTGTTGTAGTCTCCTGCGGAGTTACTAATTGAGTGTCGCCGCGCGCTCTTCAAGGTTATGGTAGCGTATGGCGGTAATACTCGAATTTACCTTCTGTTCCCGTAAGAGCGCGCTCATACTTCGCGATCCGACCGCGCGATCGAAACGCTCGAGAGATACGGAGATTGCGATGCAAACGCTCGATATAATCGCGCGATCCAAGAAATCGGATTGCGAAGTGTGAACGCGCTCTGAACACTCAGCTCTACACTCCACATCATATGCACTCTACAAACTTTAGCACGCTCTATTTTGAGAAGAACCTGATTGCTGAAAGAAAGGGCATAAGCACTTCTACTATACACTTGATGAAACTCGTCTCCCAATTCATTTCTTAATTAAGCTCTAAATTACAATAAATCTTTCTCAAATGTCTTCAATAACAACATACCTCTTCCTCATCAATGACGTAATCCGTTGGGGGTGGATAGCGTTTTGGCGATTCCGAGCGGCGACGTTTCTGAAGACAAAGGGAAATCATTCCAGAGGGTAAGTCCACGTTCATACTTTGTGATACCAAATAATAGGAAAATGGAGAAACGAAGAATTAGCGCGAAAAAGTTACGTTCGTACCGATTGATCTTCAATGCTAACGTTCCAAACGTCCCACCCAATACACTGGATCAGCGTCAACATCCGGACAGTTTGTTAGAAGAAGGAAAAAGGAGGGGGCAAAGATATTCCGTCCAGTGTATTCAAAGTATCCAGTATGCTGATCCAGTGTATTGGATGGGGCGTTTGGAATGTAGATGGAATGTAGCATAGAAGATCAATCTATATCAACGTAACTTTTTCTTGCTAATTCTTTGTTTCTCCATTGTCCTATTAGTTTGTCTAGCCCGTCTTTGGATCCGGCGTTGAGGGGTGTTTGAAGTGTGACAGGAGGTTGACGAGTGAGGCAGGACCAAGGATAAGACCTAAGCCCATTTTCTCTTTTGGTCAACTTCTGAGCATTGATGTTGGAATTTGCTCCAATGTTCGTTTCAGCTGACCAACCAAAAATAGTCAACCGATACACAGTCTTGTTCGCTGAGAATAATGGGGCGCATAAAGGGAGGGATGTGTTGGGCGGACGTCAGCCCTTTTTTCCTCTTTTCTTTCGGCAAGCGATGAGACGACGGTGTACAGATCGTCATCAGTCGTTTTGAACCTGTTTTGGTAGCTTAGCGCTTCAACAACTGGAGAAGAACGGACTGGCGACGCGCCAAACGCAGCTCCACTGGCATCCCTCACCGTCCACAGCGAACAATAATGTACCTATTCTTTTCCGCCAAATTCTCGATTCTCACATTTTTGTGATTCCCAAGTTCCCCGATTTTCCAGTGTCACAAGTATGAGCATGAAAGTGCAATGTGCGAGAGGTGTAGGATACCTGATCAAGCTGCCAATAGAACGAGTAAGGATCCCGATGTTCCGTCATGATTGTCGTATCCCCTTGTTGACGTATTCGAACTCCTGCAAAAGTTCTACTCTTTGAATGTTAAAAAGGCACACTATTGTTCCAATGTTCCAATTTTTCCGAAGAAATGAAAAAGAACACATAAATATCTTTTGAAAGAAATAAAGTCCCAACAGCAGACCACAGGGAATGCAGCAACTTCCTGCCAATTCATCTACAATCGATAAACAACTAAGAAAAAGGTGAGAACTCGAGATAATCAATCTTCTTGGAAAGCGCCAATCAACGTCCATCAGGGATATTTGAAAGCGCGCCTTAGGTTCATGAAAAGACTATCGGACTTGACTAATGTTCATTTGAATACTTGTCTAGAAGAACTCGGTTTCGATCAAGTGCCCAGAAAGTGGTTAAGGGATAAATAGCCAAGTCGAGAAGTGCCATTACGCCATTTTTCGAGACGACGCTCACAGGGAATGCAATGATTCATGTGAAACACCTTCTGTTATAAAATTTGTTATGCCTAAGCAACATGAACCCGCGGTGGAATGAGAGAATGAATCAGTGCACTGCTGCTCAGAGTATTCTATTAATAAAATAGTTTTGCTCATATTCGATTAAATACTTGGTCTTCCATTCAGATATTATCCACTACATCTGAAAGATATTATTAATTAAACACGTTTCTATTTCTTATTAACACATTAACAGTTAGCGCAGGCAGTATGCGTTCTGGGGAACCCCAACAGGGGGGGGTTCGTATTGTCGCCAGGAGGGGGGTCGTATTTGGGCTGACAAAAATTTATTTTGATAGTTGGTTTTTCTCGCTTCATGGACATTTTAAAGGAGGGGGGGGTCGTATTTGATCATTTTGGGGGGGGGTCGTATTTACGTTTTGGCGTTGTGGGAGTGGCGGTTGACTTTTGGTGATTTTCCTGTTTCACGTACTATATGCCCCCCCCCCCCGCTCGATTCGATGAGGAAGGACAGAGGGCTGGGGGGGTCGTACCAACTCCCAAAAAAAGGGGGGGTCGTATAGAGTCGACTAAAATCCCCAACCAATGATGTGCCCTGCGTTAGCGCCGTTTCGCCAAAAACACCCGTTTGTCGAGCGGCGCGTTCGCGGCGGGCGACACATAGCCAGTCGTTCCGTTTATGGTTCAACGCGCTCGGGGCGGATACAACTTCGCCAAAACATTATCTGTGCAAGCCCGAGGGTACAGGAAGAAAACGGTCCAGACGATGTGCCGGCTGTTACAGATCTTTGACAAAGGCTCACAGCTTGACACACGCTCGCAACCATGAACCCAGAGTAAACACGAATTGTTCCTGTTGTAAAAACCATTACTGCCTCAACTGCTTTCGAACAATATAAGATGTGCTCTTAATATTACTTCTATATTGTTTACATTATTAGTTGCATAGTTGTATATAACAGTCAGTCAAAAGAAGAAAGTCATGAAAAAAAAACAAGTGAAGGGGCGCGTGTACTCCCGGGAGTACACGATTCGCCTAAAGAAAAAAGTTTTTGAGTGTTTTTTCGGGAGCGCATGCCTCTTCTCATGTGTGAATATATTTCCCTATCTTTGTTTGATTACTTGTATCCAATTTCTCAGTGAAAAAGAAAAGAAAGTACAAAAACCAGCTAATAGGCGCGTGTACTCCCGGGAGTACACGATTCGCCGAAAGCGGAGTTTTTTCGTGTACTCCCGGGAGTACACGCCGCCTTCGAACGTGTTAAGGATGTTGGAAAATATTAAAAAATAAAACATAGCAAAAAAAATAAAAACACTCTTCACCATCCACTACTCCCTTATCGCACGCATCCTACTTCCATTCAGAATCATACTGGCTTAGTGAATGCGATGGGCCTACAAAATGGGCTGCGTGGGTCAGCCGATATGAAAGTCAGTACCCTTTTCCCATACGAATCTCTACCAATTTACCGTCCCAGGAGGGTAGAAGGCCTTGTTCGACTGAGCAGGCGCCAAATGGATCCCCAGACCGTGGGTGTGGTAAGCGTGTCACTTGCCACTACACCACCTCCGCCTCGTTGAAGTTATTATCCGACAAAAACAGCCCTGTTTGTATATATATTTGATGAAGCACAAGAATTGTTCATTCTATGGCGGGTGCGAGGAGGGGGGAGAAGGGGCATTTTGCACTTTCGTCAGTTCCTTTTGCTAGTTAATGTTAACAACATGCGTATTAGGTTGGAGGGAAAAGTTCTGTCACTTTTTCGAACTCAAAATACTTGCCCATTACCTGAAGAGGGGTGAACGGTAATGTGAGCACTTATACATCAAAGAGTGGTCTTTCTATTAGTACCACTCG